CTCATCTCCTCCCTGCCCCTCTCCAAGTCCACTGATGGGGAGGTCCTCCTCCCCTTCCATCTGACCCTCGCTTATCAGGTCTCATCAGGACTGGCTGCAATGTCCTCCTCTGGGTCCTGGCAAGGCTGCTCCCCCCTCAGGGGAGGGGGGGTCAAAGACCCTCTTATCTTTTGAGACAGGGTTTCTGACTGGGCCCAGAGCTCATGCATTTGGCTGGGCAGCTGCTCAGGGAGCCCTAGAGAGCCCCTCCCCACAGTGGGGTCACATGTTGTCACCATACCCAGCTCCCCCAGCTTTCACAAGCTTGCTGATGAGCCCAGCTCACGTCCTCATTTTGTGTGGTGGGGACTTCATCAAGAGAGCCATCTCCCTCCTCCCTGCCTCAGATCTCTAAAGTCAGTAGCCATAACCTTCAGAGCATGCAGTTTTGGCTTAATAGCACATATTTTATGAATTTTGGTTGTAGATACTGTACAATAAAATTGATACTGAGTTTCACTGTTCTCAGGAACTGCAATGCAAGGTTCTTATTTGTTGAGGGAAAAGTCAAGTCCCTCTCCTTTTCTTAATATGGTGACAATGCACTCAAGTGACTTACTCAGAAAAACATTCAGCAATTAAAACAAAGCCAGGCATGGTGGCACAAGCCTGTAATCCCAGCAGGTTGAGGCAGGAAGATGACCTCAACTTTGAGGAAGCTTGGGATGCATAAAAAGACCTTGTTTCAAATACCAGACAATAACCAAAAATTGCCAATACATTTTCCCCAGTGATACAGTATTTTAAATTAATTAATTAGCAAATTAATGGGTTTTTTTTAGTGCCACTCGCACTGAAAAAGGTGTGCTCTCATTTCTGTACTGTCTTGGAACAAGTCTGTTATGTTTTCTGTATTGTGTATACATTCAGACCTACAGAGAATTCTGGTATCTACTTGACTTCTTATTTTATTTAGTTTTTGATGCAGGGTCTGGCTGTGTAGCTGAAGCTAGCCTTGAGCTCACAATCTTCCTTCCTCAGCTTTTTGAGTGCTGGAGTTATAGGTGTGTTGTATCATATCAATATACTTGAATAATTTTGTTTTTGACCTTTTGACAGGGTTTCTCTGTGTAGGTCTGGATGTCCTGGAGTTCACTCTGTAGAGTCGTATACCACCACCACCACTAAGCCCATACTTGAGTAATTTTAAAGTCACTCAAAAATTGGGACTTTTTAAAAATTTTTCATGTCCTTGAGTATTTAGGATCTAGCCTGACATTTGGAAAGTCTCCTCCATGATACGCTTTTTTTTATTAGACTAATTTTAGTGAGGAAAATAGCTTGCATTTGTGTCTACAGTGTTGAATATCATCATCCCATATAGTTACTACAAACAGGACTGGAAAGTTCAAGTTTTAAGATGTCAGTATTTTTTCTAACCAAGTTAAATGAGTTCCCAAGCTTTAAAGTTTCCCTGAATTAAACATAATTTGTTTCATATTTTAGAAAAGTGAAATAGGAAAACCATTTTATATTTTTATGTATATTTAGTGTTAAAGAGATGTATAGATGAAGGTTAAAGTGATTTTTTTAAGCCATTTTTTTTCCAGAAGTATATTTTAATGTAACTTTAGTTAATTGTTTTAGTTTGTCTCTTGTAATTTTCTTGTTAATTTTATCTCTGCCTACTCACCTGGAATTTGGTAACAATTTGTTTCAGATGCACACTGACTTCATGCCTCCAGCATTATTTCACAGTCTGTCGCTTTAAGGGCTTTTCATTGGACTATTTTTTTCTCCCCCAGGGTCCCCCTGAAAGTGGAACAAGCAAACAACGCTCGCGATGCCCTGGCAAAGACTGTCTACAGCCATCTTTTTGATCATGTGGTAAACAGAGTGAATCAGTGTTTTCCTTTTGAAACGTCATCTTATTTTATTGGTGTCCTGGATATTGCTGGGTTTGGTAAGTATTATTTCTTTAGTTAATTTGTAATTGATATATATATATTTTCACATATATAACAATGTTTTCCCCAAAGCTGTTATGTTAGCCTCTCTCATTGCTATGACCAAATACCAAACAGAAGCAAAATAAGGCAGTGTTCACCCTGCCTGGAGGCTTCAGAGTTTTCAGCCCTCCATGGCGGGACAGAGCTGCTCACGTGGTGGGGAGGGGGGAGGATAGGAGAGGAGAAAAGGGAAAGGATAAGACTGCATATGGTAGCTTTTGATCCCCCACTCTTGCATCTGCGCTCCCACCTTCTAAGATGGCACTTCTCACATTCAGGGCTTTCTCTTTGGTAGTGCTCTCTGGAAAGACCCTCACAAAGCCCAGAGGTGGGCTTTGACAATTTTCTATGTCCCTATCAATTGATTCAAACTGACAGTCAAGGTGAATTATCACAAACCTTTCTCCTCGTGATTCACTTGATATATATTCTTTATATGTTACTGTCTGCATTTCGTTATGCAGCTTCTAAAGTAAGCTAGTTAGTGCTCTTCTAAACTACCATAGTTGAGCTGTTTCCATATCCTTGGATGGGTATAGCCGAAATAAAGATAAACCCCTGAGCACTGCTGCTATGGATAATAAAGTTGGTCTATAGTTCTGAATGAGATAAATCCCCTTCACTGATGAGATTTCATAATCTTTAGCATGACACATTTTCAGAGTGTGAAATTGTAGAGCCTCATGGATCTAAGACATAATTCAACCCTTAACTTTACAACAGATTACTAGCATAGCAGTTTTGTTAATGGATTAACTAGGAAAAAAAATCTCCTAAAGTACATGAATTTTCAATCATTTTTGTACTCTATTTTGCTTTAATACCTGTGCTTTAGAAATTTATGTTAAAGAGAGCTAACTTGTAAATTTTTGACTTTTTACTATAGAATGTTTGTGTCATTAGACACTTTTTTTTTTAGTCTGGTAGAATAAAGTACTTCTCATACCTAATTTTAGTACTTGACAATATATCTCTTGAATTAAGAATGTTTTGGGGTCATAGAACAAACAATTTTATATATTTGATAAGCCCAACTTAAAATTAAACCATTGACACAGTGACATTTGATCCTGGGATAAATGAATGTGTGTTGTCATATGGTGACAGCTCTCTTCTGGTTTCATGTTTTCAGAGTATTTTGAGCACAACAGCTTTGAACAGTTTTGCATCAACTATTGCAATGAGAAACTTCAACAGTTTTTTAATGAAAGGATCCTGAAAGAGGTGAGTAACTTTATTTAAATGTAAGGTCCACATTAAGCCATTTACATTTCAAGGAAGACAGTCATACTGCAGTTACCCTGACTGATGGAGTCTGACATGAGGTGGCTAGGTGGTCCAGCAGGCGCTAGCAATTCAGCTGAAGTTTGGGGACCTTATAAGTTAAGTAGGCAGCTTCTCAGGAGTGACTCTCACTCATTAGTAAGCGCAGCTTGTGTTTTTATCGTGATTTGGTTGACTTTAATTTCTGTTACTGTTAAATGGCTTCCTATTCTCATGCCTTGGCCTCTCTTGTCCTCAGTGTCTGCTTCTGTTTGCTCTGCCACTCATTTCTCTTCTCTCTGTGTGCATCAGAAAAGCTGCCAGTCAGGAGATTTTGAGCAGCCACAGGCCAGGAGTACCTCTGGGTAGCACTTTCCCTACTAGTGCCATCTTTTGTGCTGCAAACTGCTTATGAGTGACCTGTCTTTGGCTGTCCGCCATTTCCTCTTCAGGAAGGAACTTCCTTTCTCTGCGCTCAGTATAGATTTCCAGGCACAGCTGACACTCAGAATACCATGACAGACTAGGAAGTTTATATTTCTCTACCATTTAGTCAAAGCAAAGGTAGCTTTGGTTACATTGATTTCTTCTAAGGCTCATTATTTTCTCCCCTTAAACCTTAATTCTCCAATATTTTCTACCAATATCTTTGTTTTCCTTCCTTTGTACCATCGGGGATAGGTTTTGTTGGCTGAAGATGCTAGAGTAGAGGAACCGGAAAGTTTGTCCAACCTAGCCCTTCATTGTTCAGATGAAGAAAGCAGGTCTGAAGGCATTTCACAGCCTCTCTAGGCCCGACTCCCCTTTCCAAGCTGTTGATCCACACCTTGTACTTCCTTTGTGTCAGTGTTGCCATTCCCAAGTATTTGAGCTGAAATAAACAGTGTTGGGTTGTTTTTTTTTTTTTTTTTTTTTTTTTTTTTTTTGTATTTTGTTTTTACTTCCCATTTCCATCTCATGTATTTTTTCCCACAATTCTTTTTTGTTTTTGTCTTTGCAAGGTTTCTGGAACATTATAGCATTTGTTAATTTTTGAATAGGCCGTAGTTAATCAGTTGTAGCATAAGCGAGTAAAGCAAGCACTTCCCTGTAAGACAGGGTCTCTATTTTATCCGTCTGTGCTAGTCCCTCCTTTGCAGTAAAGTTCATTTGCGGTTAAAAAAAAATGCTTTGCTGCTAAACTTGCCATAATCCTTCCCTTCCACTCCAGCTCAGCGCATACTCTGTGTAGAAACAGGAACCATTAAAGAGGGTGCACTGTCTTTTGTTTGCTTTTGTTACAGTCCTTTAAGTATACACAGGAATTTCCAGTTCAGATTGGGTTTAAGTGGACAAGGCCTTCTAGAATGTAAAGAAATACTTAACCATTGAGGAAAAAATAATGTTAGAACACATTAATTTAAGCTCAATGTATACGTTACCCATATTATAGAAAAAAACTTCAAGAGTTATTTTAAGAAGATACGGATTGTATATAGAGAATATATTTTCATTGAGCTATTATTGATGTATTATTCTTCCCAATTGTAACTTTTCCCCAGTTATATTGGTATTTATTCTCTGCATCCATTTGTAGTCATTGGCATTTTCCTGATTTTTGTACTTGGCTATAAGTGTTCAAACTTGGTTCCATCTTCAGCAAATCACTTAAGGATATACCTGTTGGTAAAAGCTTTTGCATTTTAACTGGTAACTGTTATGTAGAACTGACACCAAACTCTGGTGGCATTTTGCATTGCATAATATTTCCATAATGATGACTATACTCTTTGATCTACAGGAACAAGAACTCTATCAGAAAGAGGGCCTGGGTGTTAATGAAGTGCACTATGTGGACAACCAGGACTGCATAGGTATGGATCCTCTCATTCTGCCCTTTGGATATATGGGGGAGACAATGAGTGCTCTTGCTGGGAACACCTGTGTATTCAGTGGTTTAGACACTAGTGATAAGACTCAGGACTGTGTCGTTGGAGAGGGGGACTTGTGTAGAACTCCTGTCAAGTTATTTTTCTTGATGAGGCATTCTTGTCAGCTTTGTTGAAAGTTTTTCTAAAATCTCTGTTTATTACTATCCCTAGTTTACTACTCTGAAGGCTATTGTGTAAACCAGGTCAGGGGAAGCTCCGCTACCCAGGGAACAAGCAGACAGCTATGTCATCTCCTTGACAAAGTACATAGTTTGGTGAGGTTTGCCAGGGCCTCTTGATCCTGTCCTCTTCTGTGGATTGGCAGTATCTTAGAAGTTCCTTATTAAATCTAGATAATATTGTGTAACAGCAGAACAGTGCCTCTGCTTTTCTTTCAGTTTATCAATAAAGAAACCTTACCTTATTTATTGCCCTGCAGATAGCTCTTTGTCTACTTAGTTATTTGTTTATCTATTTATCTACTATCTATCATCCATGTATATATGCATGTATGCATGTATGTATGTATTTGTATGAATGTTTCGCCTTCATGTCTGTGAAGCACACTCATGCCTGGTGTCCACAGAGGCCAGAAGAGGGCATCTGATCCTCTGTGACTGGAATTACAGATGGTGTTAGGCTGCCATGTGGGTGCTGGGAACCCAACTCAGGTCCTTTTATCTACCAAGCCATCTCTCTACCTCCCACCCTCTCTCTTTCATTTCCCACCCCATCTCTAAAGTCAAGTGTTGAGAGCCTGGGACTTGAAAACCCACCTTGATAATTCAGTCAATGACTTATATGCTGGACTTTGACAGCACACTAATATAGAAGCACTATCACGTTAGACCAATGTAGCCTTTCAAAAGCTTTCCCATCCTACCCTGGTCTGCTTAGCATCCCTCTAGTCACTGCAGCTTTTCTCACCTCTGGCCTTGACGGTGGGAGTTATTAATCTGGCGGGAACGTCTCCTCCTCTCACTTCTGTCTCATTCAATAGCTACTTTGTAATACTTTAATTTACAACTCAGTTCAGTATGTCCATCTTCCTTCATTATCAATTTTCAAAGAAGTGTCATTTTCTGATTGGTGCAATGGGAATCTTGATTTCTCTTTTGTTGTTGTGGAACTCCATTCCAGTCTCCCTCCCCCCCCCCCAACTCTGTGTGTGTGTGTGTATGTGTGTGTGCAATTGTATTTAAGTTCTTTAAAATTTAAAGTTATTTTTAGGTTAGGCAGAAAATCCAACTATATATAGGATTGGACATAAAAATGTATTATTACGTGGAGATGAGGGAGGGAGGGAGGGACTGGGAGGGAATGAGGGATCGGGACATGGCTAGGATACAGAGTTAATAAAATGTAACTGATAAGAAAAAAATACAATTCAAAAAAAAGTAAAAAAAAATGTATTATTACTAAACTTTATGTTTGAAAATTTAAAAATCAACTTTTGAAAATAACATTAAGAAACTGTGTATGCAATGACTTCTGTCGTTTTATTTGAGTTTGAATGTGGATGTTAACTGGAAAAAGGGAAGTTTCTGAGTCTTTAGTCTGTTGCTCTAGTGTACACAAAGAATGCTTTTGATGTCAGTCACTGTCCTTGGATTGAAAGAGTTACGTCACTTTTCCTCCTCCCTTTCCTCCCTCCAGCTGCTCCCAGGCACCCTCCCTCACACTCCTCCCATGCTCAGCTTTCTTTATCATTGTTACACACATATATCTGTGTATGTGTGTATATGTATATATGATTAGATAGAACCCGCTGAGCCCTTCTTGTTGTTTGTATGTTATGGTTTCAAGGCTGACTGCTCTGCATTGGATGACCAATAATCGGGCTTATTTCTGGAAGAGGCTGATTCTCCTTCTTCCAAACTCACTAGTTGTCTGCAGTTCTTTGTCAAGAGGTGGGATGATATGGAATTCTCCCCCTTCTACACTAGCTTGTCTGTTGGTACTGCCATTGTTCCAGTCTTGTTTATGCAGCCCTTTCTAGGAGAGACAGTTTCACAGCAGACTTCCTGGCATCCTGGCCCAGATAGTCCTCCACCCTTTTCTATGATGTTCCTGGGGCCACAGATGCAGGAGCTGAGCAGTTACTTTTTTTTTTTTTTTTTTTGTGAAGCTGTTTTCCCAGAACCTGTACTAAAACTATGATGTTATTTTTAAATAAATGTCCATATTTGAAATAAAAACTCTCCCATTTCTAGATAACCTTTGATAGACTATATTTATCTTCTTTCCAAATACTTTTTGAAATTGATAAATGAATATTCTTTAAAGTATTGTTCACCACAATTGAGGTTTTGATATCTTGAAATAGATTTAATTGAAGTGAAATTAGTGGGAATCCTGGATATTCTGGATGAAGAAAATCGTCTTCCCCAGCCGAGTGACCAGCACTTTACAGCCGCAGTTCACCAGAAGCACAAAGACCATTTCCGACTCACTGTGAGTTTGCCATTCTAAGATGGAGGTTCTGCTGGGAAGAGAAATCTTTAGGCAAACAGCTGCAGTAGGCTTCAGATATTTTTAACCACTAGAGCCACAACTTATCCAAAGATGAAGGCAATGAGGTTATAACCGGCAAACATTTTTTATAGATGGCCATAAAATTGTGTGTGTGTTTATGTGTGTGTATCCACACATGAGCATTTGATGGTAAAGCTTTAGCTGAATACAGTAGCTCATGCATCAAGAGAGGAAAATGGACACAGAATTTGTAGCAAGATTAGATAGGATAAAGGGAAGAGACAAGGTGAGCAACAGAAATAAGCCAGAACACACTTTTCCAAAACTCAGATGCTGATCCGCTGCTGGCGCTTGGGTCCCTGTGGCAGTAAAAGTGGAGCTGTACTCTGTGAGGCTGGCATTTGGGGCTGTTTAAACAGTTTTCTCTGTTTTTTTTCAACTGTGAGCTTATCCCTCCACTCAGCCATCACCTCCTGAGATAACACATTGCTTCACCCCTGAGCGCAGAAAGACCCTGACCAGGTCAGTCTCAGTCACAAAGGTAGTCACTACCGCATGGAAAAGAGAATAGCAGTGGATACTTCCTATTTTCCTCAAAAGAAGACAGAAAAAGAAATGAGAGAAGCTGCTTAGAGTTGCTTAGTGGAATTAGGGAATGAGTTGGCAAATGCCTCCATTAACTGTACGTGTTATAGGTTGTAAAATACTGTAATGGTCATTGCTTTGATGGGTCAAGTTGCTTAAGTGAATGGTAACAAATATGCTCCCTTCTACTATTTTTTTAAGAGTTTATTTTTGATGTATTTAAATACAGTACAACTTTGGAACATCCCCCCCCCCTTTTAAGATTTCCTTATTTATACAGCAATCTACCTACATGTGTGCTTACGCACCAGAATTGGGCACCAGATCTCACTATAGATGGTTGTGAGCCACCATGTCGTTGCTGGGAATTGAACTCAGGACCTTTGGAAGAACAGCCAGTGTTCTTAACCTCTGAGCCAACTCTCCAGCCCCCTTCTACTCATTATTAACAAAAGAGCAGTGCATACACACACCAGGTATTATTGGATGGGCCATTAATATGTAAAAAAGGAGGTAAGAGAAGTTTAAGTTTAATAAAAAAAATTGACAAAACATCAGTGGAAGATAGATTCACTGGCTTTCCTGGAAAAACCTGTGTCTGGACCCTTAGAGCCACCTGCTTCATTGATGTATGTTCTTAAGTATCCCTAATAGTTATCATAAAACACAGTATTTTGGTGTAAAGAAGCAAAATAATATGTATCCTCAACAAAATTGCTAATGTTGAAGCTGTGTGCCAGGCTTGCCTGTTTATGGCTGTTCAGTATGTGGCCTATGATGCGCGGTTGCCTTCACCAAGAGTGCTGTTCTCACTTAACAGAACTGTGACTAGAATAATCCCACAGGGGTGTAACTTAAAGACAGCGAGTTCAAGCATAAGGAATGAGGCCTGGCTGCTTTTCTCAGGGAGAATAAGCAAACACAAAGCAATGATCTCAATTTACATAGGTCATTAGTTTTGCTGTATTTTTTGGGAACTAAATGTGACGGTCATTCATGGAACACTTGGCACTGTCCGAGTGCTCTTACTTGGATGACTCTATTTAATCCTATTAGTATCTTCATGCTAGAGATGAGAAGCAGACAAGGGGAGAGGAGGCAATCCTGATGGCATGTGAGGACAAAGTGGGTTAGGAGGCAGGTGAGCTGTTGTGGCAGCAGAACCCCCGTTCTGGCTCCTGGATGGTTGCCTTTCCTCTGTCCTAAAGGCTCAGACCCTGGGTGCCAGGGCTGTCTGTCCATTTTAAATGATACTGTCTCCTTCACCTTGGATTATTTTTAGAGACAGATGTGACCACATATGTGATAGTATTTTGAAAAGTTTAAATAATTCAGATATGAGATACTGTAATTAAACGTTACTAATAGTGTAGTTTTCTTGAAATACGTTCAGATTCGTTGTGTAAAATGTTAGGGTGGTTGGTTTGAGACACCAGAAGTGTCTTTGTGCTGACCTCATGACTTTTTTCCTGACTGCACTTGGAAATCAGCCTATATGAACAGCATGGGACGAGGGAGGTTTAAAGCCCCCCATTAGTGATTATAACGAGCATGAATACTGAGCTTTAGAAATAAGTGGTTAATTTCACAAAAGTCTCAACTTTGTTTTTTGTTGGCTTTCAAATGAGATTTTACTTTAAAAATTTTTTATTTTTTTGTGTGTGTTTGTGTGTGGGTATGTGCACATGAGGGCAGTACCTGTAGCATCCAGAAAAAGGTGTTAGGATCATCTAGAGCTTTAGCGGTTTGGGGCTGCCTGACATGGGTGCTGGAAACCAAACTCAGACCCTCTGGAAGATCAGGAAACACTCTTAATCAAGTTTTATGTGTGACAGGCATGAATGTACACGTTTTATATTGACACTCATCCATGCCTGTCTATTTCATGTGCGGCCTTCATGTATGTGTGTATGTCTTGTATGTGGCATTCATGTACGTGTATGTGTTTTGTGTATGGCAGGCATGTATGTGTTTTTGTGGGAGGCAGGGATGTTATGTGTATATCTTTTGTGTGTGGCAGGCATGTGTATATGTCTTGCGGGTGGCATTCATGCATGTGTATAGGTTTTGTGTGTGGCAGGCTTGAATGTGTTTCTTGTGTGGCAGGTGTGCATGTGTGTCTGTTTTTGTCTTACACCAATTTTTTTTCCACTAAGATACAGCCAAATGTAATCAACATGCTTCAAGGTATATTCAGTATTTGAAAGTAGTACAGTTATGAAAAAATGCGAAAAATCCCCTTATGATTTTAGGTACTCTGCATCTATGATTGTCCAAGGAGAGTCCCTGACCGTCTTTTTGATAACGTGGTAACTTATATATGTACTTTCTCCCTCAGATTCCCAGGAAATCTAAGCTGGCAGTCCACAGGAACCTCAGAGATGACGAAGGCTTTATCATCAGGCACTTTGCAGGGGCCGTGTGCTATGAGACAGTGAGTACAGCGTTGCTCAGTGGGACACAGTTGGCCCTGAAGCCACGCTCTGCAGTGTGGCAGTCTCTGGCGATTTAGGCTTGAATAACTTTAGCAGTCCAGTTCCTTGATACACTAGACACCTTTAAAGCGCTGAATACCCGCGCTGAAGTCTTGGCCAGTGTGGACACGGAACATTTGTGCTTTCCCAGAAAATTCCATGGGACAGAGCTCAGGTAGGAAATGTTTATCACAATGCAGATAGAAACATTTTATTTCATTGTTTTTTCAGACCCAGTTTGTGGAGAAAAATAATGATGCACTACATATGTCTCTTGAATCCTTGATATGTGAGTCCAGGGATAAGTTTATACGGGCATTGTTTGAATCATCCACCAATAACAACAAAGATACGAAACAAAAGGCTGGGAAACTTAGCTTCATCAGCGTGGGAAACAAGTTTAAGGTATTTGTGCTAAATAACATAATCAAATGTTTCTTTCCTTCTTTTTTTTTTTTAATTTGTTTGCTGTATGAAAAGCCATTGTTTTATATTGTAAACTGGATAATGTAGATCATGAATCGTTTCAAGAGAAGACACTGCATTACTGATGCTTATATGTAAGATCTCATTGTAGTCACAGCTACGGAGTATACAGAAATGCGTGTATTTTCAGACCATGTTAGTACACAGTATACATGATTGATTCTCCTAATGCGCTTGCTTCCCCCCACGCTGCCTTCTTGAACTTTAAGTATTCTCTTTCCCATGTGTTTTCTGCTTCCTTCCTCATTCAGCAGTTCTGTTTAGCTGCAGTAGTTCAGCTCGAGATGGCTAGAGAGGACTAGTTGAGTTGAGAGAGGAAAAGCAGGCACAGCCAGGGGCCTCAGGTAAATGATCCCTTCCATAGACTCCTTTTCACAGCATGGCTGCTATGCTAAAGAGCCCGTGTCAAGTTAATGGTTCAGTTTGTAATTCATTTTCAACGCATTTTCTCTCATGGTATCGTGGGCATGCATCTCACAGTAAATTTGATTAAAGCTTTTGATAACCTTTATAAAAGAGAAGTGTTCTGGTGTGGCAAACTCTTAATTTGCTTATCTGACTTTAAAGAATAATTTGTTTTATTAATTTTAACTCAAAATTAATTATTTGAAACCTAACAAGGAGTGTTTTAAAACAAGGTGTGTTTTAATACTGTGATAAAATACTGTTAATTGCTTATAATTATTGTTAAGTATAGAAAAACTTAAAAACCTTTAATAGATAATTACAATACACAGAACAAAGCAGTTAATTAAATAACTTCTCTCCACACTTCCAGAAAGTATCATTACATTTCCTATACAGCTGACTTTTGCCTTTTGGTGTATTTTAAATATTTAAAATGATGTAATTAGGACCAGTATTTATGTAAAGCAGAGGTTCTCAGCCTTCCTAATGCTGTGACCCTTTCATACAGTTCCTCATGTTGTGGTGAAACTCAACCATAAAATTACTTTCATTGATCCTTCATAGCTGTGATTTTGCGACTGTTATGAATTTTGCTGTAGGTATCTGATATGCAGGGTACCTATTAGGTTATCCTCAAGGGAGTCTCGGCCCACAGGTTGTGAACCAACACCGAAAAGAGAACCATGGTGCTAACTAGTAGCACAAACCTTCTCAAATCCCTTTTGGGTTGAAATGGGTCCTGAAGTGGGCTTGGTGACACAGGTCTGTAATCCCAGCTCAGGGGAGGGAGAGTTAGGAAGATCAAGAGTTCAAGGCCAGTCTCTGGTACCTGGGTCAAGATCAGCCCTAGCTATGTGAGACCCTATCTCAAAGCCAAAAACCAAACAAGACAAACAAAAAGAAAGAAGAAAAAAGAAAGAATTGTCATGGATCCTAAATATTTAACTTGATACTTACATTTCTAAAAGCTAAGTTTCTTTGTAAAGCTTTTAAATGTAAATACAGAAGAGAAATCATAAAACATTTTAGGTAGCTGAATTTGAAGGTTTGAGTTTTGTTTCAAGAAGTATTAATTTATGAGTTCTTCATACACTCAGTGAGCAATATTTTTTAATCTAGTATTTTTCCATTCCAGATTAAACATTTGATAACATGTTGGTTTGAAAATAGCACATTGGCTAGATGTGGTGTCATGGCTCTTGTGGTCCCAGGTGACTGAGGAGACCGATAAAGGAGGATCATCGAGTCTAGGCATTCAGGGCCAGGCTGAGTAACATAACCATCAGGGCCCTCCTCAGAAAACAAAACCACATTATCTTATAAATAGAGAGGTATGTCTAGTAAGAATGCGCTTAAAACGATAGATAGTCTCCGATATTTGGAGACTTTAAATCCACTATAACTACAACTCTAGTTCCAGGGAACCTAAAGCCTCGGGCCTCCGAGGGTCACTGCTCTCACTTGTGACATGCACACATGTACACATAATTAAAACCAGATGTGAAAATAAGTAAATAAAATACAATAATTAAAATCAAAGCTAAAATAAGTAAAGAAAAAATACAAACGAAGGCTGACCCTCCAAAGTCCTTCCTTCTCCTGGGTTTTGGCTTTGTGTTAATGGGCATTCTTTTCTGATTTCTCAGCTGCTGTTAATTAATTTTTGTTTCCACTGTTCTGACTTTGTCTCCATTTTTGGGGAGCAAAGCACCACACTGTCCGTGGATTAAAAGGAATGTATTTATAACTGTTGCTTTTTTTCCAAAGAGGCTCTCAACTTGCTTTTCAGTTGCCTGAAATACAGACTGATGTTGATTTCTGCCAATGAGTTTTGTGCATGGGACTGTATTCTTCAGTCCCATGACAAGTTCATTTTATTCTAATAACAAGTAGCTTCCTAGTAAGAGAATGAACTTGGATGTCAGGGCTTTGCCATCACTAGCTCCATGCTCTTAAACATACTGTTCCTTCCCCTAGATCTTAATACCTGCATAATGAGTCCAACAATGTCGCCTTAATTAGGTTTATTGTGTTGTATTCTTCACTGGATTAAATGTAACAATCCTCATGAGAAGCTTCCTTTGAGCAGTGCCTCACTCACAGAAAAGCATTCAGCAAAATCTACACGTTACTATTAATTATAGCTATTCTCACCAAAATATGTTAATTTAAGAATTATCATCTTAATTTGTATTTTTCCAAGTAGCATAACGAGCATTTCAGCATGAAATTATCATGTAGAATAGGAAAACAAACATGATTTAAGCACACTGAACCAGGGCAAATTATAATCAGTATTCCTAAACTAGGAGAGCGTGGTAAGTGTATTCCTTGTGAAAAAATTTTAAAGCAAATCGTTAGAGTTTGAAAAGCATTTAAAATATAGAAAAATTTAAAATAGTGAAGAGAATTTCTGCAGTTAGATTAGGGCTGTTTCACTTTGCCATGCTGCATGGGCCAATCCTGACGTACAGATAGTTGCTCATTTTAAACATTGCAAGCTTCATAGCATGCGACACGACAGTGCCTTGTTTGCCATACACTGAGGTACTGCGTGTAGCTTTCATGCTGTGCATCCCTGGCCTCTTCACACGCTCTCACTCATTGCTTATGTTGTTTTTTTATCCTGTTTGTTAATGTGTCACTAATTTGCAGCCTTAATTATACTACAATGTAAATATTGTCATTGACATCTCATTAGCCATTTTGCATGATGCTGCCTGTTCCAGAGTTTGTGTGCCAGGAGGTTGTCATAAAATGTTACATGTGGACGTTTTAAAAGCATATTATTTTAGTCTCATATTGGAGAATTAATATTAATTCTTTTTCACTATGTATTTTGACTTTCTGAAATACTCTTTTTTTTCTTTTTTTAGACACAGTTAAACTTGCTTCTGGATAAACTTCGAAGTACCGTGAGTACACTTAATAAGAAAACATTTTTAAAATGGTTATCCAGGTAAACCTAGTAACCCTGTAATAATGAGAAGTATATTTTAAACCACATTCTCTTTCAAAAAGAAATCAGTTTTTAGAGGGCTACCTAGACTTTCACCTGGTAAGCAGAGATTCAGGGTGTCACTCCTGGTACACGCCCCCACCCACCCACACCCACATCTACACCCCTCCCACACATACCCATCTGCACAGTCAGCTTATAAAATGGTAAAATGGTTATTATTAGTTTTTTTCTGTTTTAAAGAAATATGTTGTGAAATGAAATTATCTGGAAGTGTTTCTTGTTAATAAATGAAGGTTTCTAGAAGGTGAAAATAATTAGCAATTATAAAAAAAAAGCAAACATTTTAATATGAAAGATAAAGCATGTAATTTATTATAGTAATGTTCTTCAGACATGACAGTGTGCCTCAGACGAAAATGAACTTAGTATTATCTGTCCTTTATAAATGCCAAGTTTATTAGAAGCTCATCTTTTAACTACTTTTTGTTGGTTCAGTCTGGTACTTTTTTTTTCCTAGTGCTTTTTAGTAGTGTTGGCATTGAACGTAGACTCTTGCACATGCTATGAAAATGCCCTACTAAGCTGTATGCCTGGTGCTTGATTCTTTTTATTCCCATAGTTTTGGACAGGGTCTCTTCATATAGGTGGGGTTGGCCTTGATGTTTCTGTGGAGCCAAGGCTGTCCCTGAGCATCAATCATCCTGTCTTTGCCCCGATGGCCTGGGGGTTACAGATTGACTCACTGTACTCTAGTGTTTTGACTATGAAACAAGACCCACATAGAAAGAAATCCTAATTGCTAAGTATGGTGCATTCAGCTGGCAGCCCTAGTACTTGGGAAGTTGAGACAGGAGGATCATAAGTTTGGGACCAGCTTGGCCTGCGTAATGGGAGCAAAAAAGCCACAATGGATCTGTGAGTTATAGAAAAATTGTGATTCCAAGGAAAGGCTTATTTTTTTTATACAAATCACAGAGTTCAACTTCATATGCTTCCTTTTAAAGTACCAGTCATTTTCGGTAACCTAGTATCTGTTCTGCCAATGCTGCTACTGCTATACTTACTGATGAATTCACCTTTGGAGCCATCCAGAAAATCATGAATGTCCCGAATCTCTAAAATTTTTAGCTCTTAAGAGTATCTTATAAAAGTATGATTTTTTTTTTCTTTGAGAATTTCACACACGTGTACAGGGTGTTTGATCGCATTCACCCCACACCCTTTCTCATGACCCAGGCGTCTGCCTACTTCAAGTGGGACGAGGAGGTTGTTTTCTTTTCATTTCCCAAAGACTGCACTGCACTGAAATGATGAGATGATTTATAGAAACATGTTGTCCAAGCATCTGTAGTGAGCATCATTACTGAGATAAGTATTCAGTGTTGTAAGGTGGCTACTTTGAAGAGAAGCAGCTGTTTGGGTGTCTGCTACATTATCTTCAGTGCACAGCACTTTCACTGTGGTACAAACAGTATCCTTCCACCTTATTCAGCAAAATATGATCACTACATGGAAGCCTCTAAGTTTATAAAAATATTGCTTAACAAACAAAAATTTAAACGCATGGTGGTGCAACTTGGGACCTGTATGTTTTTTAAGTCAAATGAAAATACTGATTTATGTGTGTGTACTGTTTGCTTACGTTTTGGCCTAAATTTTAAATAGTGTTATTTTTATGTCCCTTCCCAGCCTCTGTAGAGGTGTTGTGGGCAAGGCCTGGCCCTGGAAAATAAACCCTGAACCCTCTGTGAGAAGACAGAGCGAAGCCTACAGAGGGCTTTATTTAAATGTGATGCTACACTTTGCAGTAAAAGATTATTTTTTTATGATTTCTGACATTCAAAACTAAAATGTCACCTTGCTAATATTTACTTATAATGTAGACAATAATTTCAAGATTGAAATTATACAAGTATGACAATAAAATTTTAAGTTCCTTTGTAATCATTTTATGCCATTTATTAACATTAACATGCTGTGAAAGTTGGTGGTATTCATAGCTATAGAAACATAAAGATGCTGTAGACAATATCTCAAACAGTATTTCTTTCTCTCTCAGGGAGCCAGCTTCATTCGTTGCATCAAGCCCAACCTAAAGATGACAAGCCACCATTTCGAAGGCGCCCAAATTCTGTCTCAACTTCAGTGTTCTGGTATTTCCATATATTTTTTTTTCTAATCTCTCACAAAGTTTTCAAATGAACAGCTACCGTTAACTTACTCCTCTTCAAGTTCAGCAAGATTCTTACGTTTCCCTTAATCCTAAAGGAAGCACAGGACGGGGGTAACATGAACAATATTGACCTCTGTCAGGTAATGTCGTGGAAGTAAGCTTTACTAAGAACATTCAGGTTACTGGCAAACCTGGCAGCCACAGTCCCCAGTGGTCCTCACTTCCCACACAACTGGGTCAGGAGAGAGTTGGTGTCCTTGCTTCTCCTCCACCATGTGGAAAAAAAAATCAAAGCAGGATGAAGCCCTTGGGCTTTCTGCACTTTCATGAATTTGATTAGCTTGTCACTTCCAGCCCAGGGCCTGGCTTTGCTCAGTCACAGAAGCCTCAGGCACGGACACTCTGTCCACACGTCCAGCTGCCTCCCCGCTCTTTCTGCAGCTCAGCCTCTGCTACCTTTCAAATCCCAACGCTCTCTGCCGCCTTATTCTGGTCCCCACAGAGGCCCATTTACAGTGAGGCTGAGGTCTCTTTAAGTAAACTCCTTTCAGAACCCTGCACTTAATTTTGTATTAAAGAGTCCTTCCCAGATGAGGCAAGCTCCAGTTTTCCTGACCTCTGGATCTATTTCTGTCGCTTCTCACTAAACTTTAGCTGTTAATTTAATCCAGCATTTTCTTCTTGTCTGTACAGGACTGGTAGGCCAGCCAAGTTGGCACCAGTTAAATTTGTGGACACTGACCTTTCAGGGCTCTCCAAAGTCAAGTTTCCCTGCTCAGCATTTTTCTGTTTCTCTGCAGAGCCAGCCAGGACCCCTCCTCGCAGCCCCCTGGCTCTCTTTAGAACTCTGAGCCCCTGCCAGCAGCTGGCCTCTTCTCTTACCAAAGCCCCACCTGGGCGCTGCCAGCACTTCTTCCTGTCTGCATCCTCTTCGGGCCTGTCAAAAGCAGGAATGGCCTGTCCCTGGTGTACTGCCCTCCTGCCTCTCATGAGTCAGCACTGCTGATTAAGAACTCTGCCAGGGCGCACACTACAAAGCACCCCCATTTCCGCTGAGACACACTAGGCTCCCATCTGCCACTCACATTGCCTTTTAGATCTTTTATTTCTCCACTGTTTCTCTCTAGTTCCTTTTCTCTCTGCCATTCTGTTTTTGATTCCTCGGTCCCCTGCCTTCTGCAAACTCCGGCGTCACCTGGTATGGTAACCAAGAGATTGGCATTATGACCTGTTAAGCATCTGAAATGTGGCTGGTGGGACTTCTGTAGAAGTAATTTTACATTTATTTACTATTGAAATGCAAACGGCTCTGTGTGCCTAGTGCGGCTGAGGACCTGTGGGTAAGGCCTGCTCTGTTGGATAGTGCATCCTGTCCCTTTCCCAAGCACTGTGACCTTCCATACAGTGAGTGCTCCTGCTTGCCCACCCGAGCTGAGCCTTCTCCCACTTGCTTCCCTACCGCAGTTGTCCATGGGACCTCCTTACCCACTCTCTGCATTGTAGACATGTGTAGGATTATACGGTTCAGCTCTGAGTGTCCTCTTCCTGCGTGCAGCGCTCCAGTGCCTCCTGATGAGTATTAGGGTGACTGAAGAGTAGAATCTGGTGCTGTCCCTCTGGCTCGTGTGTTCTGGCTCCCTTCTTTCTCCTCTCTTCTGTCCGTGCTCCAGCCCACAGACTTGTGGCCCATATTCCCTCCTTGATCCTGGCCCCAAATGGGGCTTTGTCCATGGCACTGATGGCTGTCACTTTGACTTCACAGGCAGAGTTACAGATTTTATGTATACTTGTATAATTCTTATGACACCAGTATGCTACCTACTGTGCTAAAGAGGTGCCTGCTAGCATAAATTATTTAAAGTTTCCCCCAGGAATTGTGTTTTGGCATCTTCAAAATCCTGTTTTGTTTTTTTTTTTTCTACTGTGTATTAGACTAATTCATTATTGAGTGGAATGCATAGCCTGTCAGATACAAAAAAATATTTTTGATTAACTTAAAACAAATACTGGAAAGTCAAGTAATGCACACCTGGGGTATTTCTGCATAGAATAATGAGGGGTTCCTTTTACACAGTAACTACATTTATTTGAAAATTCTTTGCATATACATTACGGAGGAGTCTAGTTTCTAGCATGTCCTTAGTCAGGTACTACTTAATAACAGAGATGTATTCTGCAGAATGCAGCATATTGCCTTTGAAGTGACTTTCATTACTTTGAATTTCACCTTTCCCTTTTGGGATTTGCTTAGCACACTCTTCTCCCCAGTGAGCCTCTGGCATCTTTGTGAAGTGTGAGCAGCTGCAGTTTGTGTGTGTGTTTAGCAGAGCTGTGGGCTTACTGGAGTGCTGGTGGGATTGCTCCTTCACGCAGAGTGTACTTTAGCACAGTCAACTAATTTGTAGTTTAACAGGTGACACCATTTCATTGTCAAAAACTGACAGTGCCAACCAAACCTTATTCTTTTTTTTTTCTCCTACTAGTAGATCCGAGAACTAGACCTTACTCTAGTCATTCATGAATTCAAAGCCAGCCTCAACTACATAGTCAAGAGCTGAGGCTATAGCTCAGTCCAGTGGTAGAATACTTATTTTAGTATGTGCAAGGCCCTGGGTTCAGTCCTTAGTACTGCAAGGAAAAACAACAATGGTCTCTATGTGTTGCTTTTAACACATTGCGCATTAGATATGTTTTTATGCTGACTAGATAAATCTCAGATCCTTAATCAATGTAGTACATTCTATTTTATGGGCATATGCAATTTAATGAATAGGTCTTTATTTCTGTTATTGTGTTCTGTTGTAAGTAGTACTCAGTGGATATCTGGATATTCTTTGTCCATAAATGAGAACAAATGATTCTTTGTCATTTAGATTCATAAAAGCAGACATTATACAAAAGGTAAATCTTTCCAAATTGCCATCAAAAATTGTTTGGCATACTCTCTCATGGAGCACATTAAGTTTTTTATTCTTTTTTTTTTTTTTAGTCAAATAGGCAAGTATTAAATCTGTATAAAAGGGTTGTCTTTCCTAAGAGTTTGTTTTAAAATTAAGAATTCACTTATTAAAATTATATTATCTTTTTAATATTCCAATTTGATCAACTGGAATTTATTTGGGCATAAGGAATAAAATAAGATTATATTATTTTTTTCTGCATATGCTACGTATATTTTCACATTTTTACCACTTCTAATTTATTTTTTTATTTTTTTATTTTTTTTTCGAGACAGGGTTTCTCTGTGTAGCCTTGGCTGACCTGGACTTGTTTTGTAGATGAGGCTGGTCTCACAGAGATCTGCCTGCCTCCGCCTCAGCAAGTGCTGGGATTACAGGAGTGCGCCACTGCTCCCAGATCACTTCTAATTTCTTAAATATTGATTTCATAACTGCATCTTCATAATTAAAAATGGTTGCCATTATAGTTAAATAAGCACACATTCTAACGCAATTACCAAAATGATCATTCATCGTACTAGTTTTTACTCGGATTTTGGTGTTTGGTATTAGAAACTGAACCCAGGGCCCCTGAGATTGACATTTGTGCTCCACCACTGGTTCACACCCCTGGCTTCCAGCACAGTATTTTTATTGAATATTCTTATTGCCTGATGACTGGTGTGTTCCTGTGTCTGTACCAAGCCTGAGCGTCGAAGCTGTTGGGCTTTTTTTTTTTCTCTCCGCGATATTTAAGATGTAGATTTTATTTTACCTTTCTGTTTTATTTATTTTTTTCTGCTTTGAGGATAATTGATTTAAGATACGTTCCTAGTTCTCTTTCTATTGAGTGGTTGAGACCAAGACCAAAGTAGGAAAGGGCTTGTTTCTTCTTACAGCTCCCAAGTCAAGCGCCGTCACTGAGACAAATCAGGGCTGGAACTCAAGGTGGGAACTTGGAGGCAGGAGCCGAAGCAGTTCCTGAAACAGTGGAGGAACTCTGTTCACTGGCTTCATAAACCACCTTTCTTAAAATTAAATAAATAAATGAATGAATGAATGAATGAATGAATGAATAAACAAACAAACAAACCACCTTTCTTATACAATCCAATACCCCACAACCCCAAGACCACATACCCAGGGGTGGCGCCACCCACAATGGGCTACCCTCACCCCATCAATTGTTAATCAAAAAAATGCTTCACAGATTTACCCCACAGGCCAACTGAGGCATTTTTCTTAACTGATATTCTCTCTTCCCGGATGACTTAAGTTTGTGTCAAGCTGACAGAAACTAACTAGGACAGATACTTTCTACCAAAATTACTGTCTAGTGAATGTCAGGACAAAGTAAGGGAAGATGAGAGAAGGCAGGCTTTCTTCTTTTAGAACTTTTGTGTTGTCTGCTGTTAACGCTGACCAGAAAAGTTCATGCTGACTTGAGGCTCGGCTTGGCCATTTATTAGAGTTAAATTAATAACTTATATTTATCTTATAGACCAATCTTCTCAACCAATAGATTACTTTTTTTGAAAGCTTAGTAGAAAAGGTCATATGTTGGAGCTGGGGCTAGAACCTAGGGCCTTGGTCACGCAAGGCTAGTGTTCCCGGGAGCTGGAGTCCCAATCCAGTAGAAGGGTAAGGGTGTGTGTTCACCATGTGCATGTGTGTGCTAGCTGTGTATGGTGTATGTGTATGTGTGTATAATATATATGTTACATTACACACTATTTAAATAACAAATTCTCTTTTGCTTTATATTAGTTCTTAGGAAAAATGTAGAAATGGAGAGTTTTTCAGAAATCTTGTTTGAAATTAACCTTAGAACTTAAAGTGGCCAAATGCAGGATTTTGCTTTATGTGCTTTTGTGAATAAAAGATGCAAATCCTAGATGGGCTTCCTTTGAGAAATGATCAGCTATGCTGACTTTACATGGGGTTTCATTGTGGTTGTTTTAAGTGACACATAGGTTGGGACACATTGACTGGAGGTGCATTTCCTTACTGCTGATACTCCCTCCCTGTAAGCTGTCTTTTCAGAAACGTTCACTTGTAAAGTTGTCGAGTCACACGTGTTACCCTGGACTTCTGTATTGTGACTGGGAATTATCTGTGCTCATGACCCTAGGCATGGTATCCGTGTTGGACTTAATGCAAGGTGGTTTCCCTTCAAGAGCCTCATTTCACGAACTCTACAACATGTACAAAAAGTACATGCCAGAAAAACTTGCAAGATTGGATCCAAGGCTATTTTGTAAGGTATAAATGTTGCTTCAATAGAAATTTCTAAGTATCAAATCAAATCTTTTCTATTACTTTGTAGTTGGAACTCAACCTTTTAAAACTTGTTTTTCAGGCTCTTTTTAAAGCTTTGGGATTAAATGAAGTTGACTACAAGTTTGGGCTAACAAAAGTATTTTTCAGGCCTGGCAAGGTAAATATATGTTTATTTTAAACTTTAGCATATGATAGTTGGGCTTGGTATGTGTTTTCTTAGTTATTAGCGATTTATGTTAGTACAACATTACATGTAACAACATGAGATTGTTTTCACTCACAATTATTGTAAGCATTGTTATTGCAGCTAAATAACCAGTTACACTAGTCAGCTATCTTTTTCCTTTCAAGAAAAAATTAATTGTAATAAATATAAATTTCACATTTTTGAGCATAAGATGAAAATATGAATTTGCACTACTAGTGTGTTTTTCTCTGTGGTGTCTTTGTCACAAAACCCATACCATTTCCTGTGGGGGGGAAAAAAGAAAATTTAAATGTTCATAGTTGGCTTCACTTTATCTAGTGTTATTTATGATAAATTCAACATTTCTTTTGTTTTAGAGGCATATTAACTATTTAATTACTAGCTGGATAGAGAAAGAACTTAGATTATTTACCTCCAGAAATATGAGAAAGGGTTGTTGAAAGCTTAAAGCAATCAGGTTTAGAGATGTGTAGTCTTGTTATACTACCTTTAAAGTTTTTATGATTAAAAAAACATTTTGTTGATTGTATGTGACATCTTTAATACTGTAGTATGATATTTGGTGAAAAATGGAAGTATTTCTGGAATTTGGTGGTAAATAGGAGAAGTAATATATTTTATTCACTAATAGCCAAATATTCATTGCATTTGTGTAGTCTGTCTCTTAGAAGAAATTTCTTAGTTTTGTCTGAAATGGAGGTGGGTTTTTTTGCTGGCTCCTTTGTTTTAGATGACCTTTACTTGTCAAGAGCCACATGAATATCTGAGAATGTGGGTGAACTGGCTCAGACATGTTGACTTTATTCAACATTTTTCTTCAAATATTTCTGCCAATCCTCTGTAATTAGTCATTTAAGAATTTTTCTATTCCTGTTTTTGCTGCTACTTAGGAATAAATAAGTATTACTTCCTATCCTCCAAAAAATTGCTGAAGAAAAGACCAAAGGAAAGGGCCATGGCATGTGGCTTAATGTGTTTTAAGTTTTTTGTATACCCTGCTAAGATGTCCCTGGAGTTGGCTTTTAACTATTTTCACAAAGTTAGATTTGGGATTTAAAATCCATGTATTTTATTTTCTCTCTATTTGAACACATTTACCCTTTAATGCTGACATTAAGTTATCTTACTTTTAGTTTGCAGAATTTGATCAGATTATGAAATCTGACCCTGATCACTTAGCAGAATTGGTTAAAAGAGTCAATCTTTGGCTAGTCTGTAGTCGCTGGAAGAAAGTTCAGTGGTGTTCACTTTCAGTGATCAAACGTAAGTGTTTTCTCTCTGGTATAATGTCTCATTCATTAATCCCAGTGCTTGGGAGGCTGGGTAGAAGAATCAAGAGTTCAATGCCTTGGGTTGGAGAGATGGCTCAGTGGTGAAGAACACAGTTTATTCTCTCAGAGGACCTGGGTTTAATTCTCAGCACCCACATGGCAGCTCACAGCCAAGTGTAACTCAGTCTTAGGGGATTCAATGCCCTCTTCTGGCCCCTACAGGCATTGCAGGTATGTGGTGCACAGGCAGGCAAAACACAAAAGAAAATCAAAGAAGAAAAAAAAAGTCCAAGACCTTCCTTGAAGTGAGACTGTCTCGTAACAACAAAAAAACTTCTCTCCAAACTATGTTTTATTTCATGCCAAGATTTGTCGTTTGGGAGTGAGATGGCCTGAGGGATTTCATGAGGCTGTCTCAATGATGCTGCTGGGCAACTATAGTTCCTGTTGTGTCTGATGTAACGGTTCCCCAATACCTAAGCCAGCATCTGTAGACTTATTTTTAATTTTTGCGGTCAGATGACATTTGCTACCTGAGATATATTCTAGGGATGTTAATTTCATCATGTCCTAAGAAATATAGAAATTTGCTCTCTTCCCTTTTCCCCTTTCTTTCCTTAACCCCAAACATTTCTCCATTTTCTCAGATTTTCACTGAAACTGTTCTCTCTGCCTAAATGGTGTTTGCATTAGACATTCTCAGCAGATGATCTGTGTTCTATCTCTGTGTCTGTTTCTCTCTGTTTCTGCTCCCACCCTATCCCCATATAATCTATTTAATTTGAAGTGCCATGTATTGAACTCTGGGCCTTCCAAATGTTAAGCAAACCACACCCTTGGGTATTATCTATGTTTTCTTATCTATCAATCTTACTAGTTATTGAATTATATGGATTTCACTTTCAGATAGTATAATCCTTGATTTTCATTGTGCATACCTTGGTGGGACCTCCTTTATCACTTACATAATAACTTTATTAGCTCCAAAAATTGCCCTCCTCCTCCCTGCTTATCTTTTTTACATCAAAAGGATTTCCTAGTTCTCCTTCAATAGAGGGTATTTCTCTCTAGACTGTAGTTGGGGTTTCAGCTCATCTTTGCAGCCTCTTCCGCTCCTCCCTCTTGGATTCTGCTCCTGAGTACACTGGACTGAGCTGGGTTTGAGTGCATCTCTGCCAGATTGTCTAGCAGCTGCTGACTTCCAGTCTAGCACATGCATGAGTGCAGACTGTTTTGGATGGGTTTATGGTGAAAGTCTAATGGTTGGGAGGCTTATGGAAGCCAGTCCTCATTCCTCCCACGCTTACCAGAGGACTTGAAGTAGTGCTATGTGTGTCGGAGGATTCGGTGGCTAAATGTTTACTAATACAAGAGTAAAATTCACTTGGTCCAGCGCAAAGGAACATTATTGAGATCTTTGGTTAGACGATAGTGCACATTTGTATAAAAACCATAATAAAGAGAAAAGGCAAGATATCCTCTGTCTCTATCATTTTCCAAGTAAAATATAAATGTTTTCCATGGGTTCCGTGCCTTCAACTTTATATATAAAGATTTTTGGAGGAAAGCCTATATACTAGCTGTGCACCACCCTCACTGTGGACTGTGTTGTCAGGACACACCAAGGTCATTGACCGGATAGAATTCTTACAGAATATTAACCCGAAAGCTCGGGGGGAAAAAAAAATCTAAGATCCAGTCACACTAGCGAATTCTAGATCACCTGCAGTTGAAAGATTCTTTTGCTGTAGGACTCTTAGAGGCCACACCCGTAATGTTTATTGTGAATTTCCAGAAGAAAGTAAATTGTGTTTCCTAAAGATGACAATGCTGCCACTCCTGATGAGATCTGATAGACTAAGATCAGAAGGAAGGAGAGGGGGACCTCCCCTATCAGTGGACTTGGGGAGGGGCATGCGTGAAGAAGGGGGAGGGAAGGTGGGATTGGGGGGGAGGAGGGAGGGGATTATGGGGGATACAAAGTGAATAAAGTGTAATTAATAAAAGTTAAAAAAAACATAGCATTTAATACAATGGTTCTCAACTTGTGGGTCATGAGCCTTCTGGGGGTTGAAATACCCTTTCACCGACGTCACCTAAGACCATCAGAAAACACAGATATTTACATTATGATTTGTAACAGTAGCAAAATTACAGTTATAATGTAACAACAAAAATAATTTTATGGTTGGGGGTCACCACAACATGAAGGAACTGTATGAAAGAGTTGCAGCGTTGAGAACCAATGGAACATTTATTAGCAGTGTGGCCCAGAACAGTTTGCTAACAACAGTGTTGCATATGGCAGAAAGCATTTGAAATATAATGCTAGCCACATCAATCATTTTTATGTTTTAAGAAGTTAAAGAAATGTTAGATTTCCCAATCCTGATGGGTGGATTAACATGTTCATCAATGTTTTATGAGAATTGCTTTGTGGAAATGAAAGGGTTTTTCATTTATGTCCTATTTAAACAACAGCAAAAAAATTCTGTCATTTTATTTTACTCTTATATATAGTGAAAAACAAGATAAAATATAGAGCTGAAGCATGCATTAAAATGCAGAAAACCGTCCGAATGTGGCTTTGCAAAAGGAGACACAAACCACGGTAAGATGAACAGTTTCTAAAGACCTTTCCAACACTACCGTGTAGACTGGCAAATGAAGCCATGATGAGGCGCAGTTGGGTCCCGTGTTCTTTGCAAACGGCTTGTTTGCCCTGTGTATTTGGAATCAGTTCTTTCATTACTTAGCTTGGCATTCTACCAGCGTGATCTCTAAAAGGTGGCAATGAATGGCTAAGAGAGACCTGCTATTCTGATTACTTTATAATTAGAGATTCTTGATGATGCCAACTGAGATGTTGTTTTTGATGACACTCGGTAGCCTGATCATAATTTCCAAGATTGCTCATAAAATCATGTTGTTTTACTTGTATCATTTCACTGTACATACTGCATTTTGAAGTTATTTAAAATTTGCATCACCAAGTTACTTTTTAAGCTTTGGAAGTTTGAACACCTAGTGACACCACACCTTTTCAAAGAGATATTGGATCACTTGAACCTTATAATTTGAATTCTCATTTTCAGTCTAAATACAGCTGTCCTCCATTTTATTGACAGTCATTCATGCTATTCACACATGTATTTGATTCCTTTTATATTTAATAAGAGACCTAAACAGAATGTTACCACTGAAGTCAGAAGTAACCTGCCCTGTTAAGCCACAGTGTTTACTTTCTCTCAGTGAGAATCCTCCCTAGAACATTGTCTTGTGAGGTAAACATCTGATGGAGTCTTGCTGTTGCAGCATTGACGGCCTGGTTAAGGTGGGCACACTGAAGAAAAGACTCGATAAGTTTAACGAAGTAGTAAGTGCACTGAAAGATGGAAAGCCAGAAGTGAACAGGCAGATCAAAGATCTTGAAATTTCTATAGATGCTCTGATGGCCAAGATTAAGGTAGGTAATTATTTTAACCCAGCTTACTTTAATGTCTTATATAATTTCCTGGTTTTTGTTATTGGTGTTGAAATTGTATAGGAAAATATCATTATTTATTCAAGATATAAAACATTAGCAAGTGGATACTCACATTAATCTTTTCTCAATATTTGAAAAATTTTGTAGTTAAAAGATAAATAATTTTTATGTGATTTTTATCTGTTGTTAGGCAAAATATTACCCTCTAGAGTGTAACTAAAATGCTGAATGTTGATAAGCTTTTTTTAATTTTAATTTTTAAATTTTTTATATTAATTACAGTTTATTCCCTTTGTATCCCAGCTGATTGGTAAGCGTTTGCAGTCATACTTCAGAGGAGGTTAATGTGAATTAATTTGTTTTATGCTTTTTTGCTTTCCAAAGTCAATTTTTATTCTGCTGTATTTCTGGTGGTGCTGAGGACCGAACACTGTGTACCAACTGTGTCTAGCAGATGCGCTTCTACTGAGCTATGGCCCCCTCAAATAAAACTAAGTTAGAAGAGTAATGTGTCATCGTTGAAAATGGAAATTCACACTATGCCACACTAAGCCCTCAGCTAGTGTATGTTGTATTTCCTTCATGATCGATCACATTTTGCATGTCTACACTTTCACAGTTTTCTGCCACAGTCATCATTTCATTTTGTATCTCTGCTGTTATATTAGTAGGTTTGTGTGGCTAATACATTACCTTCATTACTTTAGCTATTTTTAAAGAAGCAATTAATTTTCTTTATTTTTAAGAAAAAAATGGGACTATTTTTAATTTTCATTTTTCAGTTGCTTGCTTATTAATGTGACTGAAATATTTTCTATTCTTGTTTGTTATCATATTTTGTCTTTTTCAGTTTTCTCAATTATATGTTAGGGTCTTACGCGTTTTTCTCAGGTAGCGTTCAGAAGTCAATGCACCTAAGTTTCCTTTTTGTAGCTCCTGTGGACAGGGTAAATATTAGAAGTAGAAAGAGAAAAACAATCAAGAAAAGGATGAAAATGCTATGGTAGATTTAGCTGACTTTACAGATCAAGGATGAGACTGGTTTGTCATCATCAGCCAAAATTAACCCAGGAAACCATCCAACAAATCTAGATGTAATTTCCCAACTGTTTCTTAGGTACTAATTGAATGCTATAAATACAGGGAACTTTGGCTACATGAGGCAGTCATTCCTTAAAAATATTTTAAAGCTACATTTACATAGCATTGTTCATAGTATGCTACAGATAGATAGGCTTGTTTGATAAAACATGGAGTCAAATATTTATGTGTGGAGGTCGCGTTCAAAGAATATGTGAGTAGCTGGACATGGTGATGTTCACCTGTAATCTGAGGCTTACAGTTTTCTGAGGCTCCTCACCTCCATAGCTAATTCAAGGTTACTTTGGCCTACATGAAACAGTAAGAAAAAAAAATATGAATATGGATTTGTTGGTCAGTTTTGCTGGCTGTTTATCTGTATCTTTGAGTATATATTTTTTTTAAACTGTGAAAACCCATAAAACATTGTAACTGTTTTAAAGTGTACAAAGCATATCCATATTGTGCAAAGGAGGAAACTTTGTTGTTATTTGGCTTTTTAAGTCCACCATGATGACGAGGGAGCAAATACAGAAAGAGTATGATGCACTAGTTAAAAGCTCAGAAGAGCTTCTCACTGCATTGCAAAAGAAGAAACAGCAAGAGGAGGAGGCAGAGAGGCTGAGACGCATTCAAGAGGAGATGGAGAAAGAAAGGAAGAGGCGTGAAGAAGATGAACAGCGACGGCGGAAGGAGGAGGAGGAGAGGCGAATGTAAGCCATTTGCATTGTTCTCATTAGAAGTCTACAGGATGCTGGATGATGGCTGATATAAAACTGTATTCCTACTTTAATCAATGATTATGCATTATATATATATATATAGTGATGCTATAATATGCATACACACATACACACATATACACATATATGTATATATTAGACAGGGTTTCAGAGTGTAGCCCAGGCTGGCCTGCAATTCTCATCTTCTTGCTACAGCCTTCTGAGTGTCAGTTACATTTACACACTGATATGCCTGGTACAAATCAACCAATTTTATAATGAGTTTTAAAATATTAAATGCTCATCTTATGGAGTACAGGTTTAACATTCCTAATCTGAAAATCTAAAAACTGAAAACAATCTCATCTGAAAATTTTATGATGTGTGTGTGTGTGTGTGTGTGTGTGTGTGTGTGTGTGTGTATGTATGTATGTATGTGTGTGTGTGTAGACTTATTTGCCATGGTGTCATGTGGAAGTCAGAGCAACATGTGGGAGTTGGGTCTCTCCTTCTACAATGTGGATTTATGGGATTGAAAGTATCAGGCCTGGTGGAAAGTGCCTTTATCCTCTCCGCCGTCTTATTGGCCCTAAAGTCTGAAACTTCTTGAGTGAGTGGTAGCACACAAACTTGATTTAATTTAATCTCGCTTTATTTTATTCTTTAGCTTTTTGAGACGGTCTTTTAGCGCTGGCTGACCTAGATTTTGTTATATGCACCAGGCTGCCTTAACTCTGTAGAAGTCCTCTTTTCACTACCTCTCCATGCTGTGTTGGCAGGCATGGCCTACCATGCCTAAAACATTTTCTTTTCTTCTAAAACATTAATTGTACATATTAATGGGATGCATTTGTTACTAACATACATGTGTAGTGTGCATTTGAGGTACCTATCCACCCATTTTTTTCCACCTCCCCATCTCTTCACCTGGCAAACACTCTTCAGAGTCCCTGGATCACTATTCTATGCACAGTCCGACTTCTCCCTTTTCCTTATGTTTCCACATACGGGAGAACACATTCACATATGGGAGAACACACGGTTCTTACATTTTTTCTGAGTCTGGCTTGTTTCACTTAACACGATGCCCTCCGATTCCATCCATCTTGCTGCAGATGGCAGACTTGCATTCTTCATCCATAACTGTGTTCCTAGGCTGTTATTGAATGAATGTTTCTGTAAATGTGGGTCTGCAGGCCACTCTTTTATACGCCACCTATATTTTCCTTCAGCTGTGAACACATCATTTCCAAGTTAATCTAGAATCCCTTAATGCTATAGAAGATGATTGTATTTGCTTCATTGTTTAGGGCAGTTAAACTTTATGGTACTTGAAACAAGTTGGTAACATATGTGCTCGGAGGCAAACATGGGTCCATCCTGCCCTGATGCTTGTTTGCCTATGGCTGGTTGACTTCTGAGAGATTTCGTAGTCTGTTGAAAGTCTGAAGAGTTTTCTCCTCTGTTCTTAGGAAACTTGAGATGGAAGCAAAGAGAAAACAAGAAGAGGAGGAAAGGAAGAAGCGGGAAGATGATGAAAAACGTATCCAGGTATGTGCTTATTGGACTGGATTTCTATCAAATAGCAACTGCTAAGTAATGAAAGAAGTGAATCAAAACCCTGGTTTGCCAGTATAGATTCCCTGATTTGCCCCGGGGTTAAAGGCCGATTCTGAAGGGAGTATGAGATGGAACGTTAGTGCTAGGGAAGATGGAACGAATGCTGTGGTTACAGAATGGTGGAGCCCTGCAGCTCTTTGCCTTCTTTTGGCTTTGGAAAAATGAAGCATTAGTGATAATATAGGGGCAAACCCTGTACATGGGAGGCTTGGATTTAAACAGCGTCTGTTCCTTACCAGAGACTCTGGCCAAGACCACTAAGCCTTCTTTTTATTCAAGGTAATAGTTTTAAGAAGGAAGAGCTCTTGCTAGGTGTGGCTTTCTGTGCTGCAGGCTGAGGTGGAGGCACAACTGGCCAGACAGCGTGAAGAAGAGTCCCAGCAGCAGGCGGTCCTGGCACAGGAGTGCAGAGACAGGGAGTTGGCCCTGCGCATTGCCCAGAACGAGTCAGAGCTCATCAGTGATGAGGCGCAGAGTGACCTGGCACTCCGAAGGTACCGAGCTCCGGATCACACCCCCGTCCTGGGCTTTCGTAAGCCCCCTGCCTCTCATTTCTATTTGAAAAGGATTAGGAGAGAGTCTTAATTTTTTAGGTTTTGACATATTTGAAGTAAAAACATTTTTAAATTAGTTGGATTTATTTTTGTACTAGAACAGAACAATTGATTTTCCATTTAGTTATTGAACTATTAAAACATAAACTCCAAATTTTCAGTTAATGATTGTTCTATTAAGAGCAAAACTCAGCTTTATTTCTAAAATTGCTCAAGGGTATTATGTAATGGGTAGAAATTTGGTTTCTAAGTACTTGTTAAACACTGACATAGAAGTTAGTTACTACATTAAAATGCAGTTTAATGAGTATTTTTCTAATATAAATTTGAAACAACACACCACATTCTTTTTTAAATTTAAATTTATTTTTTGATAATTTATTCACATTACATCCTGATTGTAGCCCCCTCCCTTGTCTCCTCCCGGTCCCACTCTCTCTCCCTCTTCACCCCTCTTCCCTTCCCCTATTTCTCAGAAAGGGGAACCTTCCTTCCCTACCATCAGACCCCAGCCTATCAAGTCTCATTAGGACTGCCTGCATCTTCCGTGGCCTGACAATGGCCCCCCACTAGGGGGAAGTGATCAAAGAGTAGGCAACGGAGTCCATGTCAAGAAAGTCCCCTTAGTGGGGAACCCACATGGAGACTGCGCTGCCTATCAGCTACATCTTAGCAGGGGGTTTAGGTCCTCATCATGCATGGTCCTTGGTTTGTGCATCAGTCTTTGCAGGTCCCCATAGATCTAGCTTTGTTGGCTCTCTTGGTCTTCTTATGGAGCTCCTGTCTGCTCTGGGTCATTCTATTTCCTCACTCTTTTCTGTGACTCCCTGTGCTCTGCCCAAAGTTTAGCTGTGAGTCTTAGTATCTGTTTCGATCCCCTACTGGGTAGAGCCTTTCAGAGGACATCTATGGTAGGCTTCAGTCCTGTCCCTTCTCTGCAGCCGCTTCTGGTATCTATTCTATTTGCCCTTTGGAATGAGAATTAAGCACTGTCCCTAGGGTCTTCCTTGTTACTTAGCTTCTTTAGGCCTCAGGCCACATTCGTAATACTTGGAGCAAGGTGCAGTTTACTCTCCCATGCCTCAGGCTAGAAATGACCCCTTCCTTCCTTCCTTCCTTCCTTCCTTCCTTCCTTCCTTCCTTCC